GGAAACTAGGCTTAGGGGACCCATACACGTACGAGTCTGGCTCACGAATCCGGCTCGGCTCGGGTTCCAATGAGTCAAACTCGTCCGTGTGTTGGTCGCCACGCTCATACGTGTGTGGTGAAATTAATCCGAGCCCGGTTCCTCGCCGAGCCGGACTCGCGAGCCAGACTCGTTCGCCTTACGCGTTTTCCATGCTGTCTGTGTGTCCGCGAATCGTCCCCTGATAACTTTTGAATGCTTGATCTAATCTTTATGAAACTTGGTATGTATATCATGACACCCGAACTCATCTCAACGGCTTACTTCAAGATTCCCTCCCACCAGTCTGTGTGTCTGTATGTGTTTCCCTCATATTGTTGTTAGGCAAACGCTTGGTAAAGTGTATCCATCCTTTCATTGCTAGGCAACGGCTCGGTAATGAAACTTGGTATGAATGTCATGGCATCTGAGCCCATCTAAGTGGCATACTTTATAAAAAAAAATTCCCATCAGTCTGTGTCTATCATTGCTAAGTAGCGGTTTGGTATACACGTTCGTACAGCAACCAATACTGGAAACAGAAGAATTGTTGGACGCGTTGTTTTTGCGCGGGCCATGTCGTATCAAAGGAGAGTCCGTATATACCCATATCGTTGCAAGGCAACCTCTCGGGAAACACGTTCCTGCGGCAACCAGTACTCGAAACAAAGAAGAATTGTTTGAGGCATTGTTTTCTATGCGGTTCGTGTCGCAGCAAAGCAGGCCATTAGTTCTTTCCAGAACGTCTTATTAGTCTTATTAGATCACTCTAACTTTTGAGGTCTGTGTAATATGGAGTCACGAGCACGGACCTCGCACGCGGTCAGCAGAGATCCTGCCTTTACAAACACAGCAAACACATGCCACTTTTTGAGCGGTTGATGGTGGTTGATCCATCGTCAAGTATAACCTCGCTGGTACCAGCGGTTGAGAGACTAGTAGTATTATTCCTAATGATAACTTGGTTATCATGTCTCTTGCTGTTGTAAATTTGTGTTCCTGTGAGACGAGGAGAGAATTGCACTGTCAACATGGCCTTGTACAGTGGCCACGCGAGTTTGGAAGCACGTGATATGTGGATCGCAGTTCTTATGCAACTTGCTGTTGTGTAACATAGTGTGCACTTGTTTCGTGGTCCTTTGTTTGCTAGCCTTACAGCAAGAATTTTACCTGGCACAGAATTAGGATATGAAATTTTGTCTCTCACTCTAAGGAAAAACGATTGAAAGTGTGTGGTTTCGTCCTTCGGGACTAGGCCGTGCCGAATGTTGGAGGTTTTGATCTGAGGTACGTTTAGCGCATCAGTATATTGGCTCTTCGAATGAAATCGCCATTCTTTCATTCGCAGTAGCTGAACAAAAATACACGTACTTGCTACTGTCAAACGGACATAAAATTGTATTTCAACAGTATATAAAGAACAGTGGTCCGTATGTCGGACTCATGAACACCACCAGTAGACAGATATGGGAACGTACATCAGGACAGAAATTTTTCTAATCATTTTTATCATCACATGAAGACACGGAGCCCCTGATGATGGGGGAGACAGTCTCTGTAACGATGCTTAACAACGCCACAGTCACACTGCTTGTCGCCTACGAAGAATTCATTGCACGCAGTTGCCACGAAAGCCGGGTAGTCCGTTGAAAGTCAGTGTTGCGGAGGAACATGTCACCTCCATCTTCAGGGTAGAAGAAAATCCGAGCAAGAAACCAGCGTGAGAGCAGGTGGTAAGCAGAGCCTCTGCTTGCAACCTGCCACCGAAACGTCGGTTGACTTTCAGTGGACTCCACAGTGTTATATCTCAGGAGACAAAACACTACCTATACTGCAGTGATGAACTTAGATTTAAGTTCAGAGAAGGCGCTTTGCTGAAGACAAATAGTGGGATCTGCGGCAGGAGAGGCAGTTGTGTGCTCAAGATTTTTCGAAAGCACATTTTCGAACAAGCTTTCTTGTTAATGAAGCTATATCAGTGTACAGAGAGGATTCCACTAACATGAAATTCGCACGTCTGTCATTCAACTGACAACACAAAACTTCACACCTGACTTGAAACGCTTGGCATCCCCAGTGCATTGCCGTATTTAATTACTTACGAACATTTTTCTTCCTTTGGCGCTACAGCCCCAATTTGGGCCTTGGGCTACCTCCATGAAACTCTCCGTTTCACTTCGGTTCACTAGGTCTTAGGCATTCTGTATGACTCCTTGGGCGGGTGATCAGCTCGTCGCAAAGCTTCTACCTGCACACAAGCACAGAAAATCACACACAAACAAACACTAAACATGAATGACGTAAGTGGGGTTCGAACCCACGATCCCGGTTTCCGAGAGAGCGAAGACAGTGCATGCTTTAAACCGCTCGGCTACCGTGACCGGCACTTACCAACGTTAACAATTTTTATTTACATTAATTTCTCTAATGCTTCTTTGTAGAAAAGGCATTTGATAAAAATCCTTTCCGTTGTCTAGACAAATTAGTCTCAGTGCTTCTACTAATAATCATCAACACCAGGATTTGGACCATTCGATCCGTTCAGTCCTATTACTAATAAAAATCGGCTCTGCTTTATAAAGTCTATGTTGAGCTGCAGCAGATGGAGAGCAGTTTGGCAGTGTGGCCCTTTGAAAGAAGAAAATTGTACGTCACTGGTCTAGGTACTGGTAGCGCCATAAATTTACCGGCTAGATTATTATTAAGATGATCAACTCAAGGAGAAATAGATGGGCGGGAAATGTAGCATACATGGGGAATGTGAAATACATTCTAGCTGGAAAACCTGAAATGACGAAATCAAGTGGATGAAACATGTTGTCTACTGGACGCATTTGTTCAATAATAAACTTTTGGCTTCCATGAATGATAGGAAAGTTCTTAAACTAGCTGATCAACTGTCAGCTTTTCGAGAACTACACCGCTCCAGGGCGCCATTTATAAAGTAGAAGCTATCTCGTCCTACTTTTCCAGGCGACAGTTTAGCTAGGCCTCTACAGCTTACTTCTGGGGAAATTTCTCCACAATTTCCAAGAAGACGGCAACCCAAATAAATGTACAATGAGCATCAGTCTCAGGACGCCTTTTTAAGAGTATAGGGAGAAGCTCAGATTCGTGTTACCTACGAGTAGGCATGCGGAAGGAAAACACAGCATCGTTTTCGAATACGATTAAAATCTGTTTCTCCACAACTCATTCAGTTTCCTGTCTCTTGTTTCGGGTCGAGAAACGCAGTTCTGGCTCGCAGCACGTCCTCACAAAGCGCCAAGGTCCTCATTACTCGTTGACTTGTTCGCTGTTGCTTATAAAAGTGAAGCGATAGCAAGGGGAGGGGAAACTACACATCTTTAAAGGTCATAATTTTTACCGTGAGTGTGGATTCATTTCTTATGTTTTAACGCGGTCAGACCAAGGTCAGGCTTCTTTTACAGACAATATAAAGATTATTGGTTAGTATTTTGATTATGTAACCACAGCAGCATGGCTGTTCTCTTCCACTCAGCACTGGAGTGGGGAGGGAACCACAGTAATGCAGGAAGGCCGGCCTACTTTCATCTGATTCTTCTCACGTTTCCAAATGCCTCCTCCAGTCTCTGTTCCGAAAATGAAAAAGAAATGCTAACAAGTTTTAATAGAAGCTCACTGCAGCGTTCAACCTTGGCAGAAATTATGATCACGGCCACACTGAGAGTTCTGTCAAACACTGAGAAAGTATTCGAATGGGGGGGGGGCTATTGCGAAACTGAAATGACATACCGAAGATAGCTGGCAGTTAAAATGCGGAAGTAGCGTGAAAGTTAACAACTAACTGCATGAAAAGTCCTTTGTGAGAAGCGAGTAACCGCCCGTCTCGTCATACCTCCTGCCTTTTATAGAACCCAAGGGTTCCTGTCATGTTCTTCATCGCCTTCAATTGGACCCTATCCCGAGCTAGCTGAATTCAATCCACGTTCTCATACCTACCTTATTTTTTTAATATCTGTTTTAATATGATTAATTAATTAATAGGTTTCCTGACCGATGAGTCCTTCCTTTAAGGTTTACTGATTAAATTATGTAAGCATTTTTCATGGCTCCTAAAAATGAACTTAGCTTCAAAATGGTGGCGTATTATCTCCCCTCGACCTCTGCGTAATCTTAACATTATAATATCAGGAAGAGACATCTGAAGTAACTGAACTACGGTCAAATTATTTTGGAAGAGCATCCTTCCTCTGACTTGTCCGAGATACAGTGCTTGGATGCGTTGTTGCGATACAGACCTATGCCTTCTCCCCTCCCGTTTCGTATCTGTCGTCAGTCTTCGTAATTTCTATGAAAATTTCCATGAAATCGGCAACTAAATTATAACAGAATTAAGCCAAGTTCAAATGTTTCAATAGAATTTATGCCTTCTCTTCGAAAGATGGGTAGAAGAAATAATGGAAATTAAGAACAAAAGCTGTTTCTCTCTTTGCACGGACAAGACAACCTTGATTCGTAATATCTGGCCGTAAGATGAAATTGACAGATAATAATTCGATTCAGTTCAATTCTTATTTATTTACATGCTAATGTAACAGCTCCAAGGCCAATTGTAGAGTGAACATGTGTAAAGAAATGAAAAATAACGCTCACNGTGAACATGAGTACAGAAGAAAAAACAACAAAACACACAAAGTACAAAAACAAGGCAATTTATGTAATAATAATAATAATAATAATAATAATACTAATAATTCCATTAACGCAAACAGGATTTATCATTAAGAAGTGAGAAAAAATATATGCATAATAATAACAATAATTACGATGATGATGATGACGATGATAACAAAAACATGTGTGAGAAGTAAGGTGAGGTTACCTACTCAGGACAGCACAAAAATGAATACTATATCGCACCTATTTTCATGGCCATAATAAGAGAAGAAAGACACAATGTGGCTTATTTTCTTTTCCTTCAGAGTGTGATGAAATTTATTTTCATTTGTTTGTTGCAGCTTGGCGTCATATATCGGGATATTAAGCTGGAGAACGTTTTGGTTGACTCAGATGGACATATAGTCCTGACAGACTTTGGTCTCAGCAAGGAATTCCTCCCACATGAGAAGGTAATTCACCTATCTGTCTGTGTTATCTGTTGCCAAGGTTACATGTAATAGAGCGAGGGGATAAGGGATCAGAAGTGAACCGGTCTGCCACTTAGCAGCCAAAAGGTGCCTGGACGGGGCCAGCACATTTTCAAGCAATGTTTGCCTACCTGGAGTTAAGGGAAAGTGTAGCGTAAGAGTCAGGAATTCTATAAATTTGACTGGATGGACACAGAAGTGCAGAATTGCATTGCACGTTAAGTAAGGGGGGGACATGTATATAGGTCATAGAGGCATCAAACAAAGGACGATTGAGACTCGGTGCGTGAAAAGTAATCTGTTGCTACGTCCCATGAGTTGCTCTGAATTCTGGGTAGAGTTCTGTAATCATTTGTAGGATCTGAAGTTCTGACAGCCGTGGTTTATGGTTCTGTTACATAACGCCGTGTAGTTCATTGGAAGTCAACCGACGTTTCAGGGGAACATGTCGCCTCCATCTTCAGTGTTGAAGAAACTCAAGCATGAAACAATCATGAAATAGGATGCAAACCCTGAAGTTGAAGATATGTTTCTCCGAAACCGCGGTTGACTTTAAACAGACTACATGGTGTTATATCCCAGAAGATAGATTGTTAAACGTTTTGTGAATTATTGCGACTGTTCAGTACAAAAACTGTTATCAATCCAGAACATTGAAAGCAGAAGATTAACAGTCCAAAGCAACAACTTGACTTGAAGAAAGCAGTCTTCTGGGATGTGGCACCGTGTAGATGTGGTAGAAATCAGTCTGCTTGTACTGGTTTTCACGGTCTCTTCACTTGCGGATTTCTTATTTTTCCTTCTACCTTGAAGATGGAGGCGATACGTTCCTCCGAAACGTCGGTTAACACCACATCTACACGGTGTCACATCCCAGAAGACTGCTTTCTTCATAGTCACTGCCGTGAAAACCTCAAATCTTACAACAACTTGACGGTTTGCTTTCTGAATCATGGAAGCTGGCTATGGGGGGAAGAACATTACAAATTACAAATGTTTGAAAAAAATTGTGAAGAACATATTGGAACCTAAGAGAAGAAAAGACGTGAGCAATTTAAATATAAAACAAACTGTATGATTTGTATAAGTCACCAGGTGCTGTTAGGTCTTTGAAATGAAAGACGGTGCAATGGTTAAAGCATTTGGAGAGAGATGAATACAGAATTTTTATGGGGAAGCCTGCTGGAATGTGACCATTAGGAAGACCGGGGAGTTGGGATCTTCTGGATGTGTTGAGAGAGTGGGAGGTGGGTGCAATTGTCTCGGGGCTGTTCTCAAAGGTGGACGGGCATTATTAATGCTGAACCTTTGGCTTCTAATAGCATAGAATTGACAATTTAGTTAGTACATAGTAGCAGTCGATTTATATGTTTCAGACACTTTGTAATTTTGTTTTCATGTCTAGGAGCATCGAGCATACTCCTTCTGTGGTACAATCGAGTACATGGCCCCGGAAGTAGTTCGGGCAGGTGCCTCTGGCCATGATATGGTAAGTACCTGACATTTTGGTATTGTAAAAATGGTATATTAGCATTTGTATGTAAATAAACCCTTCACACATGACTAATATGGGGGAAAAGGCATCTCAGTAAAATAGTTCATTTGTCATACAGGAGATGGCACCTGTTATGTTGTCTTTGAATTTAGTAAATTGTCCTACCTACTAAATTTTGTAAAAAAAAAAACACATATTTTATACAGATAAATGAATGGAGGGAAGATGGGGTGCATTTATTCATACAAAGGATTAAATCTGGGGGTTCCAGTGTGTGTAGTATACTGTGCCATCCCTAGATCGTTGGTGAGGCCATTTTATGCAGGTTAAAAAAGCTTCAATGACAGCAACCTATAGGCTTAATTTTCTGTGTCTAATATTTGCATGCCAGTCATGGTAGCCAGGCAGTCTAAGGCATACACTCTCTTTGCTCGCTGGTATCGTCGGTTTGAGTCCCACATGAGGCATGGATGTTTGGTGTGTGTATGCGTTTATTCTGTGTGTTGTCCTGCGTTTAGGTAGAAGCCTTGCGACAAGCTAATAACCCATCCAAGGAGTCCTACCGTCTGTAAAATGATCAATGAAACAGAGAAATCAGCCCTATACTCCAAAGTGGGAAGGGGGGAAGAATTATTTCCATTGGTCCCCTAACGTGTTTATCTAGGAGTTGAGGTTCTCACAGCGGTGGCTGTGAAGAGTTTTATCTTCTTGGCTATAATGCCATGTAGTACAAAGAGTCAACCGACATTCCAGAAGATCATGTCGCCTCCAAATTCAGGGTTGAAGAATAAGCTGAACAAGAAAACGCCATGAAAGCAGGTGGCAAACACGTTCCTCTGAAACATCAGTTGAGTTTTAGTGGACTACCAGCGTTATATCCCAGAAGACAGAACTCTTCAGCATGCTTATCCTTATATTCCCTAGTGCATCTGAATAATTTGTGAGATAATATCTGTATTTTTAATTTAAAGAGAAAGAGAATCGGCCATAGCAGCTAAGCTGAATGTTTCAACCATTGTATTGTCACTTTCCTCAGCATTGTTACATTCCATCAGTTCAATATTTCTGTTACTATATTGCTAACAATGTAGTGTGTCTTCCTTATGATGCCAAGCGGCAAACATAGGTTTTCAGAGCTTAAGGTAAATAAGGTATTAATGATGAACAATGAGGGTAGCAGAGATAAATTGATTTGCAGAGATTTAACATGAATTGGCTGAGGAAGTTGAATTCAAAGAGGTAATGTATGATTTTGCTGCCCTGAAGCAAGGACGGAGCATATCAAATGTAATTACACATTTTATAATCTCGAGGAGCAAGGCCTCCCAAAGTGTGGACTCCCAAGGGGCTGCCCCACTTTCGCTATCCTGAGGATGGCTCCAAGCTAATATATTTTAAGTATTTATGCCCACCCCTGAACACAACTTGACTTACCTGCAACAAATCTCACGAAGGTTGTTAAAGATATATTCATTTTTAAATCCTGAGAAATTCTTAAAGCCTGAGTCCAGTTAATAACGATTTAGGACTGCAGTGAAAAAACTGAGAGTTCTCTGTGTTAGAGAATATGAACTGCATGTAAGAGGTCTCACATTATGAATTATTACCGTTTCTTAGCATAATGACAATCTCAGCTGGAGAGGTTATAATGGTTACAGCATGTATAAAATACTCTTTGCCTGAGAAAAACTGTAAAGAACCCTAGTCAGAATAGAATCATGCCTGAAACTTTCCACCTATGGAAAAGTGGTAACCACTGAACTGTATGGTTCAGTAATCTCTTTTTATATTATAAATGTAAAGAACACACTAATATTAACATGGATCGTAGGAAGACGGATTGTCATGATGGTAACAAAATTGAACTGACTTATAAGCATGTCCAATGAGTGTTTGATGTTAAAACTGTTGAACCTTTATATTCTGCTATCAGATCATTTGCTACGTTGCCATATCCTTCTGTTTCTGATTGGATGATTTGTGCATATAGCAAGAGACACATAGGCCTGGTGGTCCATAATATTCTTCATGAAAATTAAAGCAGCCTCTAAACGGATCTAGAACAGTATCCTCTGGGATGTAAAACTTCTGTCCAATTTTTTAGTGCTGACATTCAGTATTCATTAATGGCCCTTCAGAAATGCAGTACTTACCCATCCCTGAATTGGGGTATGGAACATATTGTGGCGTATAGCCCTGTTGCTAAGCGGTGACTCTGTAAACAAGAGCTGTTGCTATGCAAAAGTTGAATAAACAAGCATCCATTTCTATGCCAGAGTCAAGGTATCGTTGGACTGTAACAATGGAAACGGTGTTTTCTATGCAGTTCATGCCAAAATGTTATAAGCATGGTCAGTCAAGTTCCAGAAAGTCGTCAGCAGTTCAGTTGAGTGAAGTGACGTGAAGTAGCTGGTTACTGAGAGAGATCAGTTGAAAGTCAGCCTGTGAAGGGAAGGCTAGGTAGTTGGTGTGAAATGGCCACCAGCCTGGAACCTAGTAGTTGAATTGTCAGTTGACAAGAATTGTGTGTGAGCGACTGTGACAAGAGGATCTGAGCACGGGAAGCTGAGGAATCTCCCTCAGTAGAAGCCGTTGCCAGGAAACGGCTAGTGGAAACTGTAATAGAATGAGGACACGAGCCTGTATGTGTCAGTGATCTGTAAAGTGTAGTTCCAAGTGGTGTATACAAGTGGTCAATAAAACCAATATCCAATTTGAACCCCATCTGTATTCACACACCTCTAAATCTTGACAGCTTTATACAGCTAAGTTTGAACCATTGTGATTCATAAGTTATTAACAGAGGAAAAGGATTAATAATGACTATTGAGGTTGGAGGGCAAGAGTCAGTATGGGTTTCATGTGTTATGAAAACAAATGACCATGATTTATGTTATGTTGCTGTGTCCTCATGGTGCAGGTGCTCTCAGTTGGCACTTACTTAATAGTGGAAGTTCTATGCACACTGGCAGAATACTCATACTCATCATGAAATATGGGAACAGATTTAATCCTGTGATTAATGTTTACTATTCAATAGACCCACCAGTGTTTCCTTTCCTTCATAGAGGTGTAATAGATTGGGATGCCTGCTATTGCTTTCTTAACCCCGTAGAGATGTAGCTTAGGTTTAAAAGGATAGTGGAGGAGTTACGAGGGTCGTACTGAAAGTCATGAGCAACAATTTTTTGTAAAGTAACATGCTTTATTATTGACAAACCAAATAAACCACCTCAGTCTATAGACCTTTCTTTATTTTTTCACATAATCGCAACTTCTTTGTACACATTTTCCCAGCATTCTGGGAGTTTGAAAATTCCCCTTCTGTAAAATTCCGTTCCAGCCATCCGAAGACACTGACGCACTGCTTTCTGAATGGTCTCCCATGTCTCAAAACGTTGTCCACGCAGCTGATCCTTCACAAATCTGAAGAGATGGTAGTTGGAGGGTGCCAGATCAGGGCTATAGGAGGGGTGTGGAAGAACTTCCCACCCCATCTTTGCAATTGCTTCCAGTGTGACCTTTGTGGTCTTTGGTCAATAACTGCGGGACCCACCGAGCACAAACTTTCCTATAGCCCAAGCTTTCAATCATCTCCTGTACTGCACTGTGCCTTATCCCAAGTTTTCGGGCTATTGTGTCCACAGTCACACGCCTGTCATCTTCAATGATCTCATCCACTCTTTCCTTGTTGCGTTCAGTTGAGGCTGTTCGAGGACGACCGCTCCGAGGCTCATCTTCGATGCTGGTGTTCCAGTCTTTAAAATGTTTGACCCATCTTCGAACACTGCTCGCACCCATGCACACACTTCCATAAGCACGCTGAATTCAGAAAGCAGTGCATCAGTGTCTTCGGATGGCTGGAACGGAATTTTACAGAAGGGAAATTTTCAAACTTCCCGAACGCTGGGAGAAATGTGTACAAAGAAGTTACAATTATGTGGAAAAATAAAGAAAGGTCTGTAGATTGAGGTGCTGTATTTGGTTTGTCAATAATAAAGCATGTTACTTTATATAAAATTGTTGCTCATGACTTTCAGTACGACCTACGTACTTTTGAGTTTTTATTGCAGTTGCTAATGTAACAGGAATTAATGAAAAATATAATTTTGATGTAAGAATGAAGGTTTACATGTATCTTTATACAAACCACTGTTGTTTTCTCACTATTAGTAATATTTTTTGCATTTGTGATATACACGTAACTCTACTCATGCTCTTATGTAAGTATGAAGCTTGGTCTCTGAGCCTGAGGAAAGAATAGACTTGCATAATTAAAAATATTTAGAATGGTGTGCTGGGAAAATTATTTTCACCCATGAAATAGGAAGTAACAGGAAAATGGAAGAAATTACATACTGAATTTGTACTCTTAACCAAGAATTGTTAAGGTAGTTGGTCAAGGACAGTGAGACGACCACAGAAATTTGAATGAAACTGCAATTACAGAATGAGGCATAAGTGGAAGGTTAAGTTAAGGCATATCTTAAGGAAATATGCTGGGAGGCTGGGGACTAGAGTCATCTGGCCTATGATTGGGTCCGGCAGCAGATTTCAGTGGACATGATAGTGAAAGAGGAAAGAAGGGATGGCAGAAAGAATGAGGAATGAAAAGTGAAAGGTTTAAAATACACGACTGTAAACAAGTAAGTAATTATAGAAATGGTAGGTGAATAAATATAGAAGTAAATACTGTAGAAGTTGTGATATCTGGCACTAGATGATCCAGAAATCTCTGTTAATCAGAAATTGACTAATTGTGAATGTGATAATTAATACTGAAGTATTTGTGTTGCTGTTATTGTATTTCAGCAACCTGTTGCATTGATATGTCACTTTACACTTTCACTTCCCTCTCTAATGCAACTCTGTGTATAATCTCGCCTTAATGTAAAATAACATTAAAATCACAATCAACTGCTACTTGTTTCAGCCTTACTTGACCATCCCGAGATAACTGTTCGCTTGTTGAAACCGTTACACTGCATTAGTTC